TACAATATATATTTTTGAATGCATTCTTACTTTATAGCATTTTTTCACACCTGCCTAAAACTATTGCACAGTACTGTAAGTCATTTGTGTAAATAGCTGTATCATTAGAAAAAATGAGTGTAAAAAAGCTGTCCAATGAATTGGAGGTTTCAGTTCAGTCTCTCCAGCAGAAATATGTTCATTCATATTATCATCCTGATTCAAAAATGCTTGTTTAGAAATAGATCCAGTTGATTGCGTGGGTATTTAGTCAATGCATATGTGGATTTTATTAATACCTTTCAGTATGAGAGAACAGTAACCATAACTACACCTTCTTAATCTCTCCTAGGAGGGGATGGTTGTTCCATGTACATAGGTTTGCTGTGTTTTTTTACCTGGAAGCCTCAGTGTTCCTTGTAACAACTGCACTATAGAAATTCAATAGTTAAAAATTTCCTCCAGCATGGAAACAGGAAAGAAGAATCCTCTCTAAGAGTATTCTCAAGCATTTTTGTGTACCCACTTCATTACCCAAGACGTAATTGGATAGTTTTCATGGATGACCCTGAGTAAACAAAAGAAATACACCACAAACTAGCACTTGGTAGAGCAGCCACAAAGGCCTTGGAAAAAGTATTCAGATGCCACGATGTCTCTATCCCTACAAACAGAATAGTGCAGGCAGTGGTTTTCTCTGTGATGCTTTATGGAAGCAAAAGTTGGAAGAAACCAAATAGTAAGAGTATTGATACTTTTGAACTTTGGTGTTGGAGAAGACTCCTGAAAATACCATGGACAGCCAAGAAAACAAAGAAATGGATCATTGAAGAAATAAATCCAGAGTTCTCACTAGAGGCACAAATGACTAAGTTCACATTATCATACTTTGGACACATGATATAAATACCTAACTCTCTAGAGCGAAGGCTCTAATGCTGGTAAAGAGGACAACCAGCAGCAAGGTGGATGGACTTAGAGTGGTGACTGTGTACACTGTTTGAAGACCTGAAGGATCAGGTTAGGGACAAATCATCATGGATAAAATCTATCTGGGTGGTCACTAAGAGTCAACACTGACTTGATGGCAGATAATCAGAATGTTTATGTCATAACCAGGAAAGCTCACCTTAAGGAAGTCTTTTGCTTTTTATTCTATCCAAGCCAACCAAATGGTGGAAACAAATTATGTTAAGTTCTGCATATCTGTTGGTCAGCAGGATAACCCTCTTAAAACAGGACAAAATGGATTCAAATTTAGTATAATGGAAGAAGCTAGCAAAAGAAAGATTAAGCAAAAATATTTTGCATTTTGATGTAATCTTGCCCTGTGTCATTTTTAAACTGTTAGAATTTTATGTATATTAGTTTTAGAGGTTTCCATTAAACCATTCTTGTTTTAATTGTTTTACATTTATTGTTAATGATATGTGTAACCCCTCTTGGAAGAACTTTCATCCTAAAAGGTGGAATAATCAACAGAAATAAATAAGTGCATAAGTATGTCCCAAGTTGAATAGCAGTCGCTCACTGAAGGTGACACCATTATCTGACATTCTTTGGACTAATCTGGCTGCTGGATGGCCGCGTAAATACCTGTGAAGGTTCATCATCATTATGTTGACTGCTAAAGATTCAAAGTTTTGCACAAGAATTGCCGTTTTCTTCCCATAAGTCTTTTCATAAAGACTCGAAGAATGAAAAGTATAATCTCTTTCAATGCAGTGGGAATCAATTCAATAAATAATAAAATGCATACTTCATGTAGATTGCTTAAAAAATATGAGTATCTATGGGTGAAATGGATTTATAGAAATCTCTGGAAGCTTGATCTATGAGTAGCTGCCAGCGGTAATAGCTGCCTTAAAACTTTTGATTAAGAGGCATCATTTTGCCAAATACCACTTGCTGAATTAAGTCTTTTAGTAAGGGACATTATAAGACCATTTTATAAGGACAGCAGTATAAGAGGTCAGCTTCTGCTTGTGGTCTTCCTAGAAGCATGCTTTAGACATTATTGTAAATATGCAACACATATAAGATAATAATGGAATTCTTCCCAGGTGCACTGGTTGGAGCCAGGATAATAGGTGCTGGGATACCTTTGCACCTAGAAAATCATGCTTCCCCTTCCTCTCGCACCTCCACTGCAACTTCTGTCAGTGGTCTTATGATCAATTATTCTGTTGCTCCTTGTCTCAAGTTGCTGATTTTCATATTCTCACATATTGCTGTATTAATTGAACATACCAAGTACAATAAAATGTTTGTGTATCTTCACTGTAGGAAAAAGTATTTCTGTGTTAACTCTGGTTATCCAAACAATGGAAATCTAGTAATGCTTAATGTAATCATGTACAATCTGGAAACATTTTGCCCTGGTAAAGAGATTGTGAGTTCTGTGAAAACTACTTTTTATTTTATTTTTTTACCAGGAGCTAAACCTGCCATTTTCAGGAGGACAGGACAGTTTTTCTAAATTTACAATGGAAATGGTACGGCAGTACATGAGAGAAGAAGAAATGCGAGCAGCTCACCAGTCTTCACTGCTCCGACTACGTGAAAAAGCACTTAAAGAGAAAGCTAAGGCTGAACTAGCTTGGCTAGAACATCAGAAAAGGTAAAGAAACCCAGAAACACCAAGGTGTATAGTATAGCCATGAGTTTTACCCACCCTAGGGATTTCAGACTTTTTGCATTTATGTCAAATTCTTATTGCAATGTTTAATGAATGCCATGAAAGAGATAGCAAGCAAAGGAGAGTCCCTTGCAATTTTAATGTGATCATGATGTTTAATTTAATTTTGTTTTTGTTTTGTTCTCCCACTCCTCCCCCCTTTCTTTGTGTTTTGACTATATATATTACATCATTTTGAGGTTATTTTCTCAAATGAAGTCTTCTTTCTTAAAAAGACTGTTCAAATACAGTTTTGCTTCTTTGATTACTTATACTTTTCATATAATATGTATATACAAAATTATATATTTAATTATGTCACCCACTTCACATCTAAGGTTTTTAAACAAATGTTGAATAGCTTCCAAATTTCTTTATGCATTTGCTGACATTGAGATAAAAGCTAAAGACAGCTACATTTTATCAATAGTATAAAACAATCATGAAAACCAAGAAGCAACAAAAACGAGGGCAAGTAATTCAGTGGAAGAAATTTAATTTTTCTGCTACTGATTTCTTAGACATTTACGAGATAAAGGGGAAGATGATAAAATGCCACCTATCCGAAAAAGACAACGTGGCCTGCTTCTTAAGCTTCAGCAGGAGAAGGTAAGCACTACTTTTCAGTTTGATTGCTTTGAGCTGCCTCATAGGTGGGAGTGCCTGGCCAATCTTGGCTATTCTCAGAAGCTAAACAGGACTGGCCATTGTTAGTACTTGGACAGGGGACCTCCCAAGAATTCCAGGGACCTAGATTAGATTGGGTAGTAAAAAAACAAACCAACCAACCCACCATCCTGGAAGGAGGCGCTGTGAAACCACTTCTGTAACCCTGTCAAGAAAATAGAATGGATGGAGGAGCTGAGCTTCACGTTTTTACTTTACTTTGAGATAGTTCTTACTCAGTTAATTCTGAAACAGACTGTCAGTTAGGGATACAAATGTTCTGAAAGTCATAATATTTAAAGTCATAATTTGTACAAATAACAGTACAAATAACTGGTTTATTTATTAAGATTGTACAATAGATTTATGGGGGGGTTGCTTTATGTAGCAAACTCAAAAATGTTTTGCTTTATATACTTCATTTTTATTTCCATTTCTCTTACTGTTAACATAGATAATAGTCATTGTAAAAGCTTAATTAGTTCAGAAGTACTTATCTTCCCTGGGAATTTATTTAATTCTTCTTCTTTTCTCTTTATTTCATCCAAAATAGCTTGTATTTTTTCTTGACTCTTCTTTTTAAGTTCATATTATGTTGTATAAAATAACCTCTTTTAAAAGTGTTACTTGCATTCCAAA